ACGCCTAACGAACACCCAAAAATGTTTTTATAGTTTCGCTTTTTAAGCATACATTTTGAATACATGCTTGGACACCCACGAACATCCACGAACACCTACGAACACCCAAAGAACACCCACGAACCCAAAGAAGAAAGAGTAAGAACACCCAAAAAAGTGTACCAAATTCATCTTCAGGTTATTCTGGGCTGAGGGTGTGGTGTGGGGGTGAGGGTGAAGGTCCAACGTGAAAGAGAAGGATTTGTTTTTCGCGCAATAATGCCGGTGAATCTGAACTTGCTAAGGGAATTCTCTCTCTATACATATAATATTTGATCTGTTACATGGTGAGAAATGACACTTATTTCATACATTGCAAAAAAATCAAAAATTGAGAAAAAAGAGATCTGCAATAATGCAGCAGCGATCCAATGGAGAAGAATACACTGTTAGCTACCACGATTCCCTAAAAAGATTGATCATATACCAGTTTTCTTACGTGAGTGCCTGGTTAGCCGATAATAATTACTGTAATTAATTACACATTAGCCACTTAAAATTATAAAAGAAAACCAACATCTACTCTCTCTTATGTAGTACTCGAAATTTGCTAAATGACAAAATAATTAAGAAAATAGTAAAATATCGACAAAGTACTCTTTCTGTTTGGGTTATGTCATAGTCTCATTTCTTCATAAGTTTAGCAATGTATAAATTTATAAAACCACATGCAATATGACATTTCAAGGACTCACAGAGTATCAAAAGTCTTAACTTCTGTACTATTAAAATTTGTTTTCTGCAGCACTACAGTTGCAAGTTATAGAACGAAAATTATGGTAGATTTCAATTACATGAACATGATAAAAAACGACTTCTTAATTACAATTAAAAAAGCGTTTATGCCTCGTGTTACAGGACTATGCGAAGTCTCATTTTGTAGATTCAAACACTGCTCTCCATTGCTGGAGCGCAGCAGAAACGTTTACTGCTATGGTTCACTGATTTTTGTACGGGGAAAAAAGCACCACTTCACTTCCGCTTCACTTAAAGTGAACTGAAAGTGATTTTGAAGTGTCCATGAAGTGAACTGGTGTCGTGGAAATGGAGAATATAGAGATGAGTAAATAAATTATAGAGATGTTAGCCTATGTTTGCTTAAAGCGGAGGTAAGCAAAGTTTAAGCACTAGGGATCAATCAATCCGCCTTACATGTATGTAGCAGCTAAAATTTAGAGCGATATAAATAAATTTGTCAGACATAAAAAATCAGAAAAACCTAATGAAATAATAACGTCACAAATTGACTTGGCCAGAAGTAAAGTGAATTTCATGTGAAGTGAAGGAGCGCTTTTCTCCCCTTGAATTTTTGAGCTGTTGTAAATACGCTCAAAATAAGTCATACAAAAACTAACTTTCAACAATTACTAAAATTCTATATTTATATGACTTATAAAGCAGCAGTTAAACTCATTTTTCATCCTCTTGCCAGTTGCCTCATTGAAAATTATTTAAGCCCATTCATAATCATTCAGAAAAGAAAAAAACATCATAGTCTGAGAAAAACAAGGACCAGAACTTTTTTTTTGCACTGTTTTTTTTACAGAATTCTGTAATGTTAACTTTTTCATGCTGAAAAAAAATTATCTGTATTTTTCTGCAAGGTCCTTCCAAATTTATTAAAAATATCGGTTTACAAAGTATGCCACAGGGATTTCTGCAACAATTCTTAGTTAATCAAAGGATATCTATCGTATCTAAATTTAAACGAACGTATCTGTTCGAGGGGGCCTAAGATCTATTGTACAATATTTTTGCTTTAGTTCTTTTTAAAATGTATGCACGTATCATGTTTGTGACTGAGGTCTGTATTATATCTCTTTTTGTCTCAATAATTTCCTAATATTTTTATTAAATCCTTATGTCCAAAAAAATTGTGAATTTTTGGCTGAAAAGTTTATTCATGAAGAAGATTAATCTATTTGAATGCTAATAGTGTGTCACAATTCAGAATACAAACAGTAAACAATGGGCGGCTCAAAATTATATATCGTTGTTCATTCTGTACGAAATATCCTGAATATACGGTTCTCAAATATGTATTTTTCTCAAATCACCAAATGAAATAACAGCATACACAAACAGTTTTCACAATCATTATACAGGACCAGAACACAATTCGCACTCAATCACCTTATCTGTTAGATTGAAATTATTAGAATTAAGCGTGAAAAAATTTTTGACTATTAGAATTAGTTTGGCTGTTGTTTACTCGATTTATTGTTTTAAATATCTATAGCGATCAACAAATAAATTAACCCATATGGCGTGTTTTAACAACGGTCCTTTTACTAACTAAATGTTTTCTTGACATCAATTTTTCTTCATTAGAAATAAATGAAAAAAATTCTCGTCCATTAAGAGTTTCCTTTAATACTGTCATGAACACCACTCTATCTTTTGCTTTTTAAATCCAATGAATCTGTTGAGTATGCAATTTAAGAGTTCTCGTTCTCACTTCTCTAGCCTATACATTTAGAAAAATTAATATGTATTTCTGTTCGTTACGTATATCATTATTTTGTTGAACTAATTAAAGAGAACAGAGATAGTGCATGATATTTTTTTGAAAATTTTCTGACTCTCGATTGACTTTTCCATCTTTTGTAAGACATTGTGAAATTTGTATAAGAAATGCATAAGTCTAGTCTTAATGGTAGAACGGGATGATCAGTAATCCCTCATCATGATATATTATTAGTAAGTAAGCTGTCTCTATCTTTAAGTCGAGCACCAAATACATAAATAGTTTTTAGTACATATTTTTGCTTTTAGATTACCTTCATAAGAAATAATGTGTGGATAGATCATTGATGACCAAGCCGAATTTTCTGGTCGAGATTGAAGCATTTAGATATAGATAATAAATTAGTTTAATACAATTTACAGGACGAAAACGACAGTTCTAGTTACGTAGAAAAATAGCGAATAATTATTTTTAAAAATCTTTTAGTATAGATGACTAAACTAAATTCAAGCATATTGTTTATGAGTGAGAGAAAATTCAATTTAGTCTTGTTTATTCTCGCGTAACGAATAGAAAATAATAAGAAAAATGATGAAGATGATAATAGACTCTGTAGTATATAGGTGCAATAGTTAGTTTATCATCATCGATTCGCTCCGTTTCATAGGTGAGAAATTTTATTTTCACGGCATATTAGCTCAAAATAATAAGTAATGATAGGCGGTGCGTCTTCTAACCCAAATTAAATATCCAATCTTTTTTCAATGAATGACGATAGTGACACGAGTAACCTTTTCAAGTTTTTAGCTCCTCCTCCATTCTCCAACTTTACACAGGCAATAATAACTTTTCTATTTAATAACATGATACATACACATACACATCACTTATTTTTTATTTCTTCAGGTGACTCTCAAGCGTAATCCACACATTTCCTCCTTTTCCAACTATCATCTCTATATATCTTACAATTGCTTTTTATTGGTTAGATTACACCAATGAATAGAACAACCGTGATTTTAAATTATCATTTCTGATTCGATCAATTTCTTTCTCCTTCGAAATAGAAAAAATCAATCATCCGAAACAATAGTTATGAAGTCATACAGTAATGACGAATAAGCTTTTTTAACTGAATTCAAAGGAATTCCTGACTAACATGTCAAAACTGCACAAAATTGCAAGAAAGCTATCGCCAAAAATACAGCTGCTGTTTTTGGAGTGCTAAAGGAAGCCTTGACAAGACTTTACAGTAAATTCTCGTCAGAAAATCAAATTCAGTTCATGTAAAATATTTACGTCGATTCTACTGTAATACAACACGTTCTTTACCGAACAGTTGACTGATCACATTTTCCAGCATTTCAGAGCTAAAATCAGGCATACTAATCAAACTAACTAAGTCGAACACTCCTTAAGTCAATTTATAGAATGATTTTTTGGGCGTTAATAAAGATCCCATTCTAATAAATAATTTTGCATTATTCACGTCGCAAACTCGATTGTGATACAATCCATGTTATATTATCGGTACATCACAGTTCTCATCTTTTCTTTTTCTACAAAATAGATATTTATTACTGCAAATTTAGAAAAACAAACAAACGGAAGAAAGGAGCGGTAGATCTATCAATAAATATTTTACAAACAACAGTAGAAAAAAAATCTGTAAATCAAAACACCTGTGATATAAAAGTATATGAAAAACAATATACTTTTTTAGTTTTCATTTAATTGTCAGTATGGATGTAGATATGGGAAAGACGAGGATGGAAAATAAGAATAATTCGTTGAAAAATTATACGACGGTGTGTTGGCATAAAATTGTGAATGATAATCTAGAAAATAACATTATAGAATTATACTAACTCAATGTTATTAATCAAATGGTACGTACTTGCTGTGTTCCCTGTTAAATCATTGAAATAGGGTAAGTGGTATGATGGATCACTCGATGATATATAAGGTGAAGTAGAAGACAAATAAGGTTTAATGTCGGAATCGAACATTGGTGGTGGCGGGCCACAAAATATCTGAGTATTCTCATTGTTTTTGTCGTCATATGAAACGGTGAATTCATGCGATGATTGAGTTTTTCTGTAGCGTGCCCGCCGATTACTAAACCATACCTGAAATATAAAGATTTTTATTTTAATCAAAGATGTTATTTATCTGTTTGTTACCTACCTGAATACGTGCTTCACTTAAACCCATTCGTTTAGCTAATTCATCTCGCGTTGTTACATCAGGATAATGTGTCGATTGGAATAAATGTTCTAATTCTTGTGTTTGTTCATGATTAAAACTTGTACGATAACGTCGTGCAGCACTATTCGGTCTTGCTGGTAATGATTCATTCAACGAATTATCTGATGACAAAATGAAAATTAATAATTACATTCAAAAAACAGCTTTTTCACTTACTTTTTTCTTCATTTGAATCTGTACTGTCATCATTGGTTGTTACGGGACGTTGTTTTCTTGTGCCTACAGCACCAGGCTTTATACTTCCCGTTTCTGAATATCGAGCTAAGATTTTGCTAACACATCCGTGGGAAATACGAAGCTAAAAAACCGAGAAAACATACAATCATAAACACACAATCTTAGAAATAATCACACGCGCTCTGAATCAACAGTTTGTGATGCCTACAAGTCTTATCGATTAACTGAATAAAAGCAATAAAATTCTGATTTATTACATACTTGTCGACTGATAACACATGGACGAATTCCTTGCGAAGCCAATTCAATAATTTGAATTCGTAATTCATGCGGTAACGGCCTTCCGTTGATAAACATACCACCAAGTTGATTAACACGACCTTGTCCTAGTATTCATAAAAGGTTAAAAAACGTCAATCTAATCAGGTAGTCAATCCAATCATGTTTGAATTGCTATGACTGTGATCATAGAAAAAAAACAATGAAGCTAAAGAGACAGTTGAAATTCGTCACACTTTTCCCCTTTTACATACGTACAGTAAATAATTGAATAATCAAAAGAAACATTTTCTCTATTCATTCTACTAAATTTAAATGACGGTTAAATTATCGCCTAATCTTCTTTCCAATAGGGAAAGACGGTATAATAAATTCTATTAAAGTGCTAGGTGACACTAACTATAGAAATACTCAAAGCACTAGATATTGCCTTCTGCTTTCGGTTTAAACTCATATCTATATTATACGTTTTTACACTGTTCAATTACAGAGACCCATATTCACAACTGTAGCGCAAATAACGGAGTTAGGTAAATTTCCTATTCCTTTTAAGCAAAAACTGACCAAGAATATAGCCTCGTCAAACTATTGTAATCTAGTTTTCATTCTTTACCGTCTCGAATTGCTTGCTGTTCAGCTTCGTTTAATATCATCGTTGAATGGAGTGACGACAGCATGTTCTCGATACCTGTGTTTGTGATACTAGAAAGATAAATAGCAATATGTGTGCAGAACGTCTTACCCGAATAATAATAACTATGATAGATTGATTAGTACTGATAGATAAATAGCGTATGCAAAATTTATTAGAGAGAGAAAATTAAAATGATTGGTAATAACTAAATTATTCTTATTTAACAAGTAAAAGAGAGAGAAAAAAATGCTGTTGATCTTTTTTAAATAAGTTTACCTGCTGTGTCATCGGCTTTTAATCATTTAATATGCTAATAGAAAGAAAGATGTTTAATAAACAAATTTTCTCTTACGTTGCGTCGGTATGTTGTCGTCGATTGACTGTTCATCAAGTAGCTGTCAATTGTCAAACAATATGGTGTTAAATGGTAGCAGTCGTTTCTATTTTGCATGATTTACGTCTAAAATGATAAATAATCACAACAGTTCATCATTTAAGAATAACTGACATGTTTCCAACACGTTTTGGAGGATATTGATAAGTCTTTATAGGAACAGACGTGAAGTCAGTGATGTTATTTGAAATCAGTTGACCGGAAGGATTTTCTTTATTAGCAACCCATTCCATACCTATTATTACAATTCATTTTTAAGACCTGGATTTGACGTTTAGTCGAAAGATATTCTTTCTTAAAACTTTTCAAAGATTCATAGCATAACAGTAATTTTGATTTTTCAGAGATTTTGTTTTGCAGTTTCTGGAATAAACGAGGCATTTTTATGAACAAGTGTAGAGAGTGTATTAGTTTTGATTCTTGGAGGTCGGAAGGTTGAAGGATATTTAGTCACTGTAAGGTAGAATTGGGAATAGAACACTTTATTAGCACCTTTTTGTTTAAGGTGCGAAACTCTTTAAAACTTTAATGAAAAAACGCATTTGAAATGCATTTTCGTTGGAACATGTTTTTTGGCAAGGTCGAGCGACAGCTTTCAAAGATTGTTTTTATGTGAGAAACATTTGTTTAATAATTTGATGTAGGCGTCCAAGTACATAGTGAATCTAACTTTTATTCAGCAGAAGAGGGATCAAGAACTTGTTTGGAAAAAAATGATCAATGAAGATTTTTCATATAACTTTGAGCTATCTCACTCGATTTGCATTGTCAAGGTTCCCAGACCGTGAATAACGATGGATTTTGAACTTTAGTATAGCCATTAAAGAGCTATGGTATTCCTCTGGCTAACGCTGTAAAAGTTTCGGGGCTCCATCTACTATAGTTTAGATATGACAAAGTTTTCTTTGTGTCACCTGCGGTGGACCATGATTAAAGTGGTTGACCGGTAGGTTAACGATCGTGCAGCGTGTCGTGATAATGTTTTTCAAGGTTCGAGCGCTTTTGCTATCAAAAAAATCCCAAGCACGTATTCTGCTACTTTGTTGGTTGCTACATAACAACGTAAACTATTGTATTATGCTCCAAACGTTAAAGTTTTACCAAAATAAACGAAAAAATGGCAAGTATTAATCGAAAAGGGGCAGTAAGTTATTTGAGTGGTTCGTCTTCTGACTTACTCTCTACGTCATCCTCTGTTGTTTCATTGTCGCGTTTCCTACCATAAATTTGGGATTTCTAAATGTTTCTTGGAATTATTTTTCTATGTTCAATGAAATTTTGTGCAAAGTTTGAAATGGCAAGAAGTCAGTCACACTTGTGATAGTATAGGAACAGAATTGAACTTAAATGTCACATTGTTATCTCGTAGAACGTTTTCATCTGCACCCAGTCAAGCTTAAGTGGGTTTATGCAGACCGCAATGGTTGACTGGGAGTCGTGAAATTTTTTATTTGTTCGACTTATATTCGAGACAATACTGTCTTCTTTCGATTATTTTTCATTTATTTTGATAATATTTCAACGTTTAGAGCATAATACCATAGTTACGTAGCAAGCAAACCAAAATAGTAGAATACGGGGTTTGAGTTTTTTTCTGGTAAAAGGTATTGAAACTTGGAAAACATTATCACGACATTCTGCATGGTTGATAACCTTACGCTCCACCACTTTCACTGTCACTCAGCGTAGCCGATGGCTTGCCGCACGTGTCACATGAAAAATTTTGTCTTGCCCAAACTGTTGTCGATGGAGCCCTGGAACTTTTACAGAGTTATAGAGGTATGTCACAGCCATACGTCTGAGTCATAGCTCATTCCCAATACACACACACAGCTTAACAGTTTCACAATAAATTCAGCTTTCGATGTATTACACGACTTTGCTATCAAGATATCCTTTCGAAGAAACCTTATGGTGGAAGCAACAGTTTGTACTTTGCTCGTTTTCAGAGACATCTTCGTAAGGATAGAGTTTTGAAATGTGGTTTGAATGAAAAGAGAGTCTCATGGCTTCTGTTTCGATTGTCAGACGCTGGAAGTCTTTATCGCTGTTCACTGTCCAGTTATTCAAAAAGCATCTGTATCAGGGTTGCCATCTTTAAAAGTCGGAAAAGCGGAAAGAAAGGAAAAGCATCTTTTTTGCGCTTCGCGACGTGTTTGTAAAAGAGAAAACTATTAGTCGCAATAAAGATGCATTTTAAATAAAGATGCGGCATATGTACGCCGCACATCGGTATTTCGTGTTTATAACGGGCTTCGTTTAGAGGTCATATTAATTCACTAGCACAGCGACAATGCTTGGTGAAAATGTGTCAAGAGATTTGTTCTTATGGGCGATATTTCTCAATCCTCTCGAATTAGCAAAATATTTATGCTCAAAACCATGGGTTGAGTATCATTATTTATATGTCAAATGGTATTTTTCACCACCAGTCTAAAAGCTATAGATTGTTTTTGTAGAATCAGTCTGTTGCTTCATTATTTGGTGATCCGCATGTACTGAAGTGCGAATTGAATACCAGTTGTTTTATGAACTATGTTGAACTTCTTTTAATCTGTGCAGAATCTGTGCATCTCATGAAGCATCTTATGAAGAGATTTTGCTGTAGATGGCAAGTGATTAAGTTTTACCTAGAATTTTCAGATGTTTCACGTAAATGTGGAATCATTTTTGCCGATTAGTCACGGGTAGCGATGAAACTTTCTACAGATATTTAGTAGTATTTGCTATAAACTTCAAGTTAAAATATCAATTCTTGTGATCAAATATTGTTTTGACAACGAGACAATTTTTAAAACACGAAATGATTAGTTTTTTTATAGACTAACGAGGGAACGTTCAGTGACGTAGCCAGGGGGGATTGTGTGAATCGTCACTGGCAACGGTCCCAACTGATAAATCGCTTTCGGGCCGAAACCTAGTGAACTATAGGTAGTCGATGTTGCTGATTCCGAATATCAATATGAGACATGCTACACACCTCTTAACATTACCTCTTAACATTATTTTACTAAGATCTTATAAGATCTTATTCTTTAAGATTTTGATAAGATAATATACGATCTTATCGTTTAAGATCTTAATAAGATTTAATGACTCTGCTTTCATTTACCCGTTTGTTTTGCTCTCATTCATCTATATAAGTGACCGAAAATATGAATGATTTTACGCGTATTTTTCTTCCTGACTCTGCTGGTACTTGCTCTCTCGAAAGTGTTCAACAACTTTTTAGAGAGTGTACATGCAGGTCAAAGTCCGTAGTTGGACACCTGAAAATACGAAATTTCTCTTCATTTTTCAACTTGAATAATGCGGATTAAAACTTTGAAAAACTTGAAATTTTTAGTGAATCTCCGATGAACATTATTTAAAAAACGTTATCGTTCTTACTATTAAGATCCTAATATATTCTTATCCAATCTAGAAAAAGTCTTAGACAGTACAATCTTAGTAAGATCTTAGAATAATCGTGTTAAGATCTTAGTAAGATTTCGCTTACATTTGTCTAAGATCTTAGAAAAATCTTAGAAAATCTTAGAATTTTCGGGTCTCACGATCTTAGTAAGATTTGTTTAAGATCTTAGACAAATGTAAGCGAAATCTTACTAAGATCTTAACAAGATTTTTCTAAGATCTTAGTAAGATTT